TTTTTTTAAATTAAAAAATAAAGAAAATGCCTTAATGAACGGTGGTGGCGCTTTAAAATTTTTGCTTTTGTTGTTGTTTTTGTTTTTCTTGTTGTTGTTTCTGTTGTTGTTGTTGTTTGCTTGTTTGTTGTTAAGGATGGGGGTGTCTTCTTTTAGTTGTGTGGTACCTTAGTGAACGAAGTAATGGGCGACGTAGAGGCGTGAGCATGACAATACTCTAGCTTGGTGATGAGACTACTGAGAGGCTCGAGTGCCAAAAACAGCTGGATAACAAGACAAAATAAGCCAGTCTTTATCCTCTGTGAAAAGAGGGAAAAGGGAGGATGGGTAATACTATATCTATTTATAGACACGGAAGTAAGAGTGATGGTATGGAGTGAAAGAACTAAAAAAAAAAAAAGAAAGAAAAATCGTGCTGGTGACGTATGAGGAAAGAAAAAGCGACTATGCCGAAGAAATATCTCGCCCTAGTGTAACTGATCATGATATCGATACTCAATGTTTTCGTTGTGGTTTTGCAGCTTACAGATTAGGTTTGAATGATGAATGAAAATAAGACTTTCAGGTGGCTTTGGCGTGCCCTTAAGAATTCTTCTTGTGTTAGCTACTAATTATGACTGTAGACAGTGAAAATGATAGTTCTGTCTTTCTTGCTACTTTGCCTGTATACATTGAAGAGTTCTCCTGATTTTTTTCTTCTGTTGCTGTCCTCATCTGTGCCTCGGTCTATCTCTGAACTAGAAGCATGCCAGCTGGCCTCGACTGTGCCCTGCCTCGACTGTGGAAGTTATCACTGACACTCTCAAAAAGAGTAAATTAATGATTGACTGATAGTATGAATTGAATCTTATTTTTCGATTGTTTTTAACGAAAGAACATTCGTTGTTGAAATTTAACAATGTCATTTAAATTTGCTCTGATTTGCATTCAAAAAGGAAGAAATATTGAACAACACAAGCTGAATTGACATTTTAGGGGGGACTATCTCTCCACCACCAATCTGAAGATGGAGAACAAAAAATTTAAGTTACAACTACAGTGTTTAAGTCCTGTAATTATGACTTTCATCAATACTCAAATATTTAAATGAAATTGTAACAAACTGGGCCTGTGACAAACTGGGCAGCCCCCCCCCCCCTCTGTGCGATGTGCTTCGGGGGGGGGGGGGGAGCATATCTATCTATCTATCTATCTATTTATCTATCTATCTATCTATCTATCTATCTATCTATCTATCTATCTATCTATCTATCTATCTATCTATCTATCTATCTATCTATCTATCTATCTATCTATCTATCTATCTATCTATCTATGATGTTTTTGTGTGTACAAATCTGATATTTTGAATGCGCCCAAAATAAAACTGAACAACATTCACTTCATGTGCATTCGAGAGAGCTCTATAGCTATCGAAAATCGAGATAAAACACTAAACTACTTATTTTGTCTAGCTGTTTTCGATACTGTGGCCGATTACACCAGACGATGACGTAAAAAGTGCAGCCTAGGAAGGGGACCTCGTGAAAAAAGAGGAAACTTAGAGGAGTTTTTGCGAGGTAATATTGGATCCGTTGTGCCAGAGTCGAGAACAATACGAAAGCGTTGTTGCAGGCAGGAGCGAAATCATTGTGTGTTCTTTGTTTGAACCTAACATCTTTTTAGACCCGGGGCATAAATGGTAGATTATCATAGTGAATTCAAAACGGAGGAATAAAGAGGGGAGGGGTGGGTAGACTACTGTTGATATCTGATTAGACAAGAAGAGAAAGGCAAAATGAACAGGAGAAGTTTTAGAAAGAGCATTTTAATAATTCTTTTGAAAGAAATTCTAATAGGAGTAAAAAATAAAAATAAGAAAGTGTGAACTTTACCAGTACTTGTGTGCACGAGTATGTAACACTGTGTGCCTTTAAAACTGATTTGTAAGTCCATAATATAAAAAAATATGTATCATGTTAAGCGCATAGAGCATTGCATAAGTGGATATGTGCTATATAAATGCAATCGAGTATTATTCTTATCATTACTTAAGCGTTGTTTCTCAGACCCTTAGACATTTCTGCAATGAACTACTGTCTGTGACTAGTTCCCCCCCCCCCAAAAAAAAATACCCCTAAAAGCGGTTTGTACAAATATCGAAAGGAAAAGTAAGAGGTAAGGGAAGCTGAAAGCAACAACAAGATTTATATGCTGCACATTTGATAACGGACACTCACCCCTCCCCCTCCCCCACCCACCCCGAGAAAATGAAAAACATGCAAGCAAAAATAAATACTAAACAGAAAATGTGCATGAAAAGAGGGTATTATCCCTCTGGTCTGATCGTGTAATATTCCATCAGAGGTTTAGCAACTGTAATACATCTCTTGAAAAATTGCTCATCTTCAAGAGTAAAAAAAAAACACAATACAAAAAAACCCCACATCCAATATTGCACCTCCCAAGGACTGCGTAAATGGTTATTATATATGACCCCTCCCCTTCCCTCCTCCCCAACACCCCCAGAAGAACAGACTGAGACAATTGGAGCATAGAAGAAGAAGAAGAAGAGGAAATAGTAGTCATTGCTCTGAATTTCCTTTCCGTCTGGAGGGATGATAGGATTGCAGGATTGTTGTGAATCCAATTTCTGCAAGGTTGTAGAATGTGGGCCTTTTACAAACAGACCCAGGGATATCGGAGATGCTCACCTTTGAATAACCCCCTGCTTGTTTCTTCTTCATCTAACCTATTTTGTGTTACCTTTTATTTTGTGTTTTTAACCTTTTCTTCTTTTTCTTCTCTCTGTCTCTTTAAACTCTCATATATATGTATATATAT